GAAAATTTCTCGGACATTCAGGCCGGTAAATGTTGTTTATTATAAAACAGAATTTTTACTTAAATATTTGTATCTATATATACATAAAAATGTCTTAAATTAATTGTCGATCTTTGTCATAATATTAATATTATTCTAATTTAGTTTTATGATAATTATTATTTTATTTTACATTTGTAAGTATTGATAGGTATATATAATTGTATTTGACATCCTTATGTGGTCGCAATCGGCGAATGTTAGTGTCAAATTGTCGTATGTTTGTGGTGGGTAGGCATTTCGCAACTGAAATCGAGCTATAAAACGTCAATTTTTTAAAGATTTTTTTGAGCTGTGAGTAATACGCACCCCTGGTTTTGTTTATTATTTTTTAGAAAAAAAATGCTTATTATACATGGGGAATTACGTCAAGTCAGAACTTGTGAGGGATACCCTCCCATGGGACCCATTGCGCGGCAAAAGATCGGTTGGAAGACCTCATTATGCTTACAATGACCAACTTGTAGATGACTTTGGATGCCGTCTGGAGGACCTGCCGACAGCGATGTCTACCACAGGTGGTTGGATAGAACAAGTCAGGAGAATCTGAGACATATTCTCGACATGATGATGTTAGATAATATCTATCAATTTCATACTATTTATATCAATCTATTAAATCATTGTAAATGTTCGTGACCGCTTAAAAATTATATATATATATATATATATATATATATATATATATATATATATATTCGGTAAAAAACTTTTATTAGTTATTGTCTTTAAAAACTGTCTCCAATCGTTCTACAAATTTGTTGATGCCATTTCGAGTTGGAAGAATGCTTTGAAATTGTTTCAGTGATTCTTTTTTGTCATTGAAATTCTTCCTTATAAACCTGAACAAATAACAATCAGAAAGCGACAAAGGTCCTGGGTAAGACGTTAAACTACATCCGCGTCCTGGGTAAGACGATAAACTAATCAAGATGTTTTGAGGAGCGTGGAACCACCATATAATTGCTAGTGTTCCCAGGTCCACACTGACCCGGGGTGGTAGCACCTGTTAGGGTCCCAACTATGGGAAAATAGTTAACTATTACCAGCAATACTTTTTGAAAAAAATTATTACCAGTAATACAATTTTGAAGGAAATATATTAGCAGAAACAGATTTTTGACAAAACAAAATATTACCAGCAATAAAAAATGTTGTCGACATTAAATAACACATTGACGTTGATATGCCGTAAAATAAAATAAACCAAACCAATCTAAACGAAAGAATACATATTCTATTCATACGAATCTATCCTAAAAATGTTGTCGGCATTAAATAACCCATTGAGATTGATATCCCGTAAAACAAAATAAATCAAACCAATCTAAAACAAAGAATACATATTCTATTCATACGAATCTATAATAAAAATGTTGTCGGTATCAAATAACACATTGAGGTTGATATGCCGTAAAACAAAATAAACCAAACCAATCTAAACCAAAGAATACATATTCTATTCATACGAATCTATCCTAAAAATGCTGTCGGCGTTAAATAACACATTGAGGTTGATATGCTGTAAAACAAAATAAACCAAACCAATCTAAACCAAAGAATACATATTCTATTCATACGAATCTATCCTAAAATGTTGTCGGTATTAAATAACCCAGTGAGATTGATATCCCGTAAAACAAAATAAATCAAACCAATCTAAAACAAAGAATACATATTCTATTCATACGAATCTATCCTAAAAATGTTGTTGACATTAAATAACCCACTGAGGTGTTGATATCTCGTAAAACAATAGTTTGAAGAATACGGTCGATACTGAAGCATTTCCCTTTTCAAATCTTTAAGATTCCGCAGGTTCTGGTTTATAACTCATGGTCATGAATTTTCGCTGTGGAAAATAACATTTTCGAAATGCATAAATTCGGCCGACTTTCTGGAATATCCGGATTGAGATTGGTAAGTTGGTCGCAATAATTCTTTGAAGTTATTGTTTCGCTGGCTGAAAGAAGCTCATACTGAATTATTCTGCATTCCCAGCAAGCCGAGAGCAAGACCTTTCTTAGACGCAAGCCAATTCTTTTCACGTATTCTGCACATTCAAAAGCTTTTCCAGATCCGTTTGCGTGGAATGTCATCATAAACGATCCATTTTTCATCGCGTGTGACAATTCTGTTTAAAAACGGCTTTTTTCCCCTGGCGTAACAGTAAAGATATTGCCGTAGAAACACGATCAAGATTGTTTCGTTCCGTCAGGTCATGTGAGACGAAAGTGACGAGTTTAAAATCCGAACACACGTTCGTTGCAAATGGCGAAAGGCAGTTGAGATATCAATTTTCGAACACATAACATTCTGTTCCATCGAAATCTTCGGCTTTATTATCCGCGATGGAAAGCAAAGCGTCTTCAGGGACAGTGGCCAGTCGCCAGAGGCGTGTACTTAGACCGTTCTTTATCTATCTATTTATCTATCTATCTATCTATCTATCTATCTAAGCATATTCATTATCTATCTATCTATCTATCTATCTATCTATCTATCTATCTATCTATCTATCTATGTCCTTTTCGTATCTATCTATCTATCTATCTATCTATCTATCTATCTATCTATCTATCTGTTTCCATTTATATATTGATCTAGCTGTCTGAGACTATTTCCTTCTATCTATCTATCTATCTATCTATCTATCTATCTATCTCTGTCCTTTCGTATCTATCTATCTATCTATCTATCTATCTATCTATCTATCTATGTCATTTCGTATCTATCTCTGTCCTTTCGTATCTATCTATCTATCTATCTATCTATCTGTTTCCATTTATATATCTATCTAGCTGTCTTAGACTATTTCCTTATATCCATCTATCTATCTATCTATCTATCTATCTATCTATCTATCTATCTATCTATCTATCTATCTCTGTCCTTTCGTATCTATCTATCTATCTCTGTCCTTTCTTATCTATCTATCTATCTATCTATCTATCTATCTATCTATCTATCTATGTCATTTCGTATCTATCTCTGTCCTTTCGTATCTATCTATCTATCTATTTCCGTTCTTCTCTATCTATCTATCTATCTATCTATCTATCTATCTATCTATCTATTATATGTATCCATTTTTGTTATTATATCTATCTATCTATCTATCTATCTATCTATCTGTCTTAGTCGAGTTCTTTATTTAGTTTCTTATGAAATAATAAAGCATGTTTCGTTTGATGAGAAAAAAGATTAACGCAATCTATGTAAAATAAAGGAAGGCACTTTGTTCCTTATTTTGTGGCGATGTTTTAGCGTATGGTTAACCTGATAAAAAAGGAAACGAATTCCCTAAAACCCGAGTCCATTCATTGAAAATTCTCAGCAAATTATTAGCTTTTCGGCTAATCTTCTAGTGTGAGTAGAACCTCGAAACATACACTCAGAAAAGACGACAGTATGGTTCACAAAAATGTAGATTACGTTAACGGAATGACCTTTTTAATCCGCCATTCTTAATCCAATCGAGTATGAAGTACTGATTAGGGGATAATTTTGGATAAAATTATGGTTGAAAATAACAGCGTAGAGATGCAGAAACCCGTTGAAGGCTTCAGATAACGTCTGTTAATCGGGATCGGTGTCAAAGGAGCGTCAATAAAGAAATATTCGACGATGTTCAATAGTGATAAAATACTGATAACTACAAAAATAAAATAATACTAATATTATTTCTATCTTATGAATTATCAGTTCACGTATAAAAACAATATTCAGGCTGGTAAGATAAATGTCATAAAACCGTATTCAAAATGGCGAATAAAAATATAGACAATAGAATAAGGTCGAATAGATTCTTTCTCTATCTGTAAGATTGTCTGTCTCTTGTCTATCTGTCTGTCCCTGTCTCCTCTCACTTTCTCTCTCTCTCTCTCTCTATATATATATATATATATATATATATATATATATATATATATATATATATATATATATAATGAGAGAGACAGACACATAGACAGATCGATATATATATATATACACACACACACACACACACACACACACACACACACACATATAAATATATATATATTTTTTTTTTTTTTTTAAGCATTTCACCCCAAGCAAGGCGGGGAGCCACTAGGACGCAAGGGGTTACAGAAAATAGGAAGATCAGATAGGAGTGATAGAAGAAAGGATGGGGGTAGTAGATAGATTAAAGGCAACTGGAGATGTCGATTGGCATTACACTTGAATAGCTGGAGATTATAACTCTCAGGGAAACAGGAGAAGGGAAGAGAGTTCCACAGGCGAGAGGTGCGAGACATGAAGCTATTAGAGTAGAAGAGACGGCTACATATAGGTTTTTCGACAGTGAAGGGGTGAGAGCGGGATGCCAGCCTCGTAGGGCGCTTGAACTCATGAAGTTTGGGAACCAGCGAATGCAGTTCCTCGGACAATTTCCATGAAAGTATTTGTAGAACAGACAGAGGGAGGCGACGGTGCGTCTGTGAGAAAGACTATATATATGATATGCATATATATATATATATATATTTATTTAGGTATGCCTATCTTTTTCCATTCCTATTATGTTATCTATCTCTCTCTCACTCTCTCTCTCTCTTTCTCTGTATATATATATATATATATATATATATATATATATATATATATATATATCAGGCTGTCCAGTAAATGCAAAATAATTTTTTTATTGCAATCAGCTATTGAAGTGAATAACGTCTCTTCCTCTTTCTCTTTCGCTGTCTATTATTCTGTCAATCTGTCTATCTATGATCACTCTTATTCCTTTCCAATCTATTTTCTGGTCATATCTATCTATCTATCTATCTATCTATCTATCTATCTATCTATCATAATCTTTCATTATCTATCTATCTATCTATCTATCTATCTATCTATCTATCTATCTATCTATCTATTTTCGTTTCTATATCTATATATCTTAGTATATTTCTTTATTTCTATCTTAGTCTATTTCTTTCTATCTATCTATGTATCTATCTATCTATATTTTTCCGTTTCAATATTTATCTATCTATTTCTGTTTCTATGTCTATCTATCTATCTATCTATCTATCTATCTATCTATGTATTTCCGTTTCTATATCTATCTTTGTCTATTTCTTTATTTCTTTCTTTCTATCTTAGTCAATTTTTTCTTTCTAGCTATCTATTTCCCATCTATCTATCTATCTATCTATCTATTTATCTATCTATCTATCTATCTATATCTATCTATCTATCTATCTATTTATCTATCTATCTATCTATTTCTATTTCTATATATCTATCTATCTTATTTTATTTCAATATTTTTCTATCTTATTTCTGTTTCTTTCTATCTATCTATCTATCTATCTATCTATCTATATTTTCCGTTTCTATAATATTTATCTATCTATTTCTTTGTTTCTATGTTCATTCTTTCTATCTATCTATCTATCTATCTATCTATCTATCAATAATTTATCTATTTTCGTTTCTATATCTATCTATATCTTAGTATTTTCTTTTTTATTATCTATCTTAGTATATTTCTTTATTTCTTTCTTATCTATCTATGTATTATCTATCTATATTTTTTTCAATATTTATCTATCTATTTCTGTTTCTATGTCTATCTATCTATCTATCTATCTATCATCTATTTCTATCTATCTATCTATCTATTTTCGTTTCTATATCTATCTATCTTAGTATATTTCTTTATTTCTATCTTAGTCTATTTCTTTCTATCTATCTATGTATCCATCTATCTATATTTTTCCGTTTCAATATTTATCTATCTATTTCTGTTTCTATGTCTATCTATCTATCTATCTATCTATTTTCTTTTCTATATCTATCTATCTTAGTATCTATCTTATTCTATTTCTTTATTTCTATCTTAGTCTATTTCTTTCTATCTATCTATCTATCTATCTATCTATATTTTTCCGTTTCTATATTTATCTATCTATTTCTGTTTCTATGCCTATCTATCTATCTATCTATCTATCTATCTATCTATCTATCTATCTATCTATCTATTTTCGTTTCTATATCTATCTATCTTAGTATATTTCTTTATTTTTAACTTAGTCTATTTCTTTCTATCTATCTATGTATCTATCTATCTATATTTTCCGTTTTCTATATCTTCTATTTCTATCTATTTCTCTTTCTATTTCTATCTATCTATCTATCTATCTATCTATCTATCTATCTATCTATCTATCTATTTCGTTTCTATATCTATCTATCTTAGTATATTTCTTTATTTCTATCTTCTATTTTATTTCTTTCTATCTATCTATGTATCTATCTATCTATATTTTTCCGTTTTATTATTTATCTATCTATTTCTGTTTCTATGTCTATCTATCTATCTATCTATCTATCTATCTATCTATCTATCTATCTATCTATCTATCTATTTTTCGTTTCTATATCTATCTATCTTAGTATATTTCTTTATTTCTATCTTAGTCTATTTCTTTCTATCTATCTATGTATCTATCTATCTATATTTTTCCGTTTCAATATTTATCTATCTATTTCTGTCTCTATGTCTATCCATCTATCTATCTATCTATCTATCTATCTATCTATCTATGTATTTCCGTTTCTATATCAATCTTTTTGTCTATTTCTTTATTTCTTTCTTTCTATCTTAGTCAATTTTTTTCTATATATCTATCTATTTCCGTTTATCTATCTATCTATCTATCTATCTATCTATCTATCTATTTTCGTTTCTATATCTATCTATCTTAGTATATTTCTTTATTTCTATCTTAGTCTATTTCTTTCTATCTATCTATGTATCTATCTATCTATATTTTCCGTTTCAATATTTATCTATCTATTTCTGTTTCTATATCTATCTATCTATCTATCTATCTATCTATCTATCTATCTATCTATTTTCGTTTCTATATCTATCTATCTTAGTATATTTCTTTATTTCTATCTTAGTCTATTTCTTTCTATCTATCTATGTATCTATCTATCTATATTTTTCCGTTTCAATATTTATCTATCTATTTCTGTTTCTATGTCTATCTATCTATCTATCTATCTATCTATCTATCTATCTATCTATCTATCTATTTTTCGTTTCTATATCTATCTATCTTAGTATATTTCTTTATTTCTATCTTCGTCTATTTCTTTCTATCTATCTATGTATCTATCTATCTATATTTTTCCGTTTCTATATTTATCTATCTATTTCTGTTTCTATGTCTATCTATCTATCTATCTATCTATCTATCTATCTATCTATCTATGTATTTCCGTTTCTATATCTATCTTTGTCTATTTCTTTATTTCTTTCTTTCTATCTTAGTCAATTTTTTTCTATCTATCTATCTATTTCCGTTTATCTATCTATCTATCTATCTATCTATCTATCTATCTATCTATCTATCTATCGATTTCCGTTTGTATATCTATATATATTGGAACAGTGTATGTGGTTAGAAATCATCTTTTATGTCAGTTTTATTAAAAACCCAGACCATGTAATGCGGATAATTAAATGATTGGATACTCTTAATTTACATGACACTGCATCCAAGAATGAAAGTACCACAGTACCTAGTCAGTCGTTTTTTAATAAACTTGCATACAGACTCTTGTGTAAATTATTTGAAACGACCACTTTAATTTTCTTTCTTTCACCATACCGTCCATTTTAGAACCACTCAATTGACAGGCTGTATTCAATTTCTATTTTTTTCCTAAAATTAGGACATTTGAGTTGATGTGCAGTTATGTAAATCTTTTTCCGGGCTGTATGATGAAATTTGTTTGGCCTTGAAAAATATTGCGTCATCCTAGATAGCATCAGATTTTCATAACGCTCAATCACTCTTGTCTCGACTGTCGATTAGCTGTCCTACGGTCATTGTCTACGATGGACGTTAATACAATAAAGCGTACGAAAATTAAAACTCTACACGAAGACATTGGCAAGTCTTGCCAGTGAGTGAATCCAAGTACTATAGTCTGGCCCGAAAAATCTGATGATTTAAATCAATACGAGAATCTGTGGTCACTTTGTGTGGAAAGACGTCGTGGAATGGACATACGAAGTACTATTATGCGTACCGGGTTATTTTTCATTGGAAAAATACGAAAATAAATGTATATCACGGAATTATTCATTTTGTTTCATTTAATTTGGCCAAGGTTATGTGTACACACACACACACACACACACACACACACACACACATATATATATATATATATATATATATATATATATATATATATATATATAGGAAGAAATATACTCTTAACCTGTGCTTTATATTTATGGGATAAAGTGCTCAATATCAGAGATAGAACGTGTGTAATATAAAGTGAACATTGAAGACAACAGTAGTGGCCTGACGATTGCGTCTAGCATGTAACAGCCTTGTCGCCTCTAAGTGTTGACTTCAATGTTCCCTTTTATATATATATATATATATATATATATACATATATATGTGTGTGTGTGTGTGTAGAGAGAGAGAGAGAGAGAGAATGAGAGAGATTAAAATATGTAACTTTTGAGAAAATATTTATATTTACAAAAGAACGGCTTTAATTAATAAATAAAATTTATCTGTACAAAGATACATAAACCCATAAAATAATTGGAAAACCAGCATTTCTACTACATTAATTTCTACCAAGCGATTTTGAAATTAAAAAAAAACAACGTAGGTAGAGAAACAAAAGTAACAGAAAGGAATAAATAAACAATTTATACAGAAAAATTAAATAGCATAAGTTATGAAGAATTTGGTAAACCGAATTGGTAAATCCAAGGTGGATGAAATCCTGAGAGCTCAATGTGTAGAACAGAGCTAATATTTAATGAACAACAGACACTTTAAGGTGCCATTACAATAATTCATTTCACCAAACATGATGATGATGATGATGATCCAAAATCCTTTAAAAAGGATTTTGGTGAAATAAATTATTCTAATGGTATATATATCGATCGAAGCGTGCTGCCCGTTTGGAAAGTGGCTGAAAAGTATACGACTTGTGAGTGAAATTGGGCAGACAGAACACTTACGGGCCGTCGATTGCCGTACTAGCAGAAAGTCACAAGTCATCGTGACCGAGGGTTTGAGTGTGCTGGCGTTGTTCAGATTGCTGCCCAAGGAAGATAGCACGATCTCTCCCAGAACCGTAACTAAGGTCTGCTCAGAATAGTTGCAGTATAAATCACAGGTTGGCTCTGAGGGTGTTGAACATAAAACAAATGTGCCTGAGCGAGCGTCTGCAATAGGGATTGCATAGCCGGGTGTCCTCGAATACGAGTGGCAAGCTATTATTATGTATGTCTGTGTGTGTGTTTGTGTGTGTGTGTGTGCGCGCGTTTTTGGAAGTGTATTTATAAAACTGTGTGCCTTCATGTAATTACCTTGCCTTTTGGGTCTATGGGTTTATATATATGGCTGAGTGGTTAGGACATTCGCTTTCTGACCATGAGAACTGGGATCAAATCTCACCATGGAGACATGCTGATGTTATCGGTCTGGAGAGGAACGTCACCTATGGAAAGTGCGTGAAGACCATACCATATATACGGAAATCATAAGTCATCGTGACCGAGGGTTTTAGTGTGCTGGCTTTGTTCAGATTGTTGATCACGCTAGATAACACGATCTCACCCAGAAACTGTAACTAAGGTCTGCTCAGAATAGTTGCAGTATAAACCACAGGTTGGCTCTAAGGGTGTTGAACAAAACACAATTGGCCAGAGTGAGCGTCTACAACAGGGATTGGCTAGTAGACGGGTATCCATGCGAACTATTGGCCAGCGAATATATATATATATATATATATATATATATATATATATATATATATATATATATATGTGTTACACACCTGGCCCAGGGTCGGATCCTTTGGTTACGGCGCCAACGGTGACGTCGCTCCTCCTGGTCGCTCCTCCTGGGTCCAAGCGTGCTGCTCCAACCCCCTTGGTCAGATGATCACCAGCCTCGCCTTTCCTGACTCGCTTCCAATACCTGGTCACTAAAGCAACTGTACCGATCTCCGGTCTGTCTACCCACGCTGTGTTTAGATCTTAGACAGACGGGACCAGCAGGGATTGGGGCCGATACAAGTTGAGTCCGACGGGGTGGCAAAACACAAATAAAAGAGAAAATAAACTCACGAGACAAAAAGATTTGATGAAAAAAAAAGGGTAACAACCTTTTATATCTTAATGTCCGTTACATAAAACAAAATTGTTCTCATTTTTTCCGACCCGCTCTGTGGACTATGGCACCAAAGCTTCATCACACAACCTAAAGATTTCGAATTGCCTACTCTTTAGAATTGTGTATGTCGGAGTGTGGTTTGGTTCGACACTGGGGCTAATTTCTATCGATCATTCGCAGTTGATTCTTCTCTTCGACTTGAGATTTCTTCTTCTTCGTCGACTTAGGCTGGAAGTTCTCTTGTCTTCGACTTGGGCTGGAAGGGATCTCTTGCCGCAACTCAGCCGCAACTCTCTGTCGTCCGAGGTGATCTCTTCTCGCTTATTGCCGTCCGGGGGCTGAAGTTTCTGTCTTCGACTTGGGTTGGAAGGATTTTCTTGTCTGAGGATTCTTTTGCCCGCAAAGGGGCGAGTGAATCGGGCCCGATGCCCGCGTTCAGGCTCTTTCCCTGCCCGCGGTCCAGCTGCAACTCTCAACTCAACTCATTTCTGTCGACTGGGGTCCTGCTTTTATTGACGCCGCAGCAAACCGGGGTGGGTCTGTCGGCGTCAGGGTTTCGGTAATTTCAAAAGTCTATTATTTCTGTCTTCTCATTATCGCTATTATTTTTCACCCCTACTTCCTCACAGTGCCTTTGGGGGGGAGGCGCGTATGTCAGGTGACCGCTTTTCGACCAATGGTTCCTGATCGAGCATTTCTTTCTTTTCTTTTCCGCAGCCACGTGACCGTTTTCGGCTAATGAGTTCTGGTTGGGCGTTTTCCTGCAATCAATCGGGGCGGCTTATATCGTTCTTGTTTAAAAAACAAAAATCTAATTTGGCCTTTTTCGCACGTACGAAAAATGATAATCTTGGCTTTTTTCTCACCTGGGTTTTGTCAACACAGCCTGCCGCTAATTAGATGTGACTTCAGGGAAGAATATTGGCGCTATCTGTGAACTGAGACAATCGTTTTTTTTCACCTCTTGTTTTTGGTCAGACCCGACAGTCAGAAAATCTTAATTATCTACATTAAAATTGTCTTTCACTCGTCAATGTGGGGGTTCTAATTTTTTAACAGGTCAGAATCTGTATACAATTCCACCGGTCACTCCCCTCAACCCAAAGACACTTTTTTCTCTGATTAAGATTTCGTTCTCATTGTTCTAAAAAAATTTCCTTTTTCCAAATTGATAAGGTGTCTTTCACGCAAAAGTAGGCTAGATGCTTTGACCGATATCTGGTTTTCATCAAGCGGCCCGTTTTGATATCATGTCTTTTCCCTTTCTTTTTCTTTTATTATTTCTAATTCTATTCTTCCAATTGTCTTTAAAAAATTCGGTCAACATGCTAGCTAAGATATCTTTCTGACTCCTACCTCCACCATTGACTGGGTCATGCATCATCCAACCCTCTTTCTCTCTTTTTTCCCCCTCTTCCTCTCTCTTCTCTTTTTCTTTTCTTTCCTCTTCTTCCCTTAGGATCGTCCAAGTACAATCTTAGTGAATTATTTCCAACTCAATTATTTTCCGTTAAAGAAAAAAAATTAACGACCTGTATAATAAACTGAGTAAAAAAAAAATTAAATCATATTTCTATGAATATTTCTAATAATGCAAGGTGCCACATATATATATATATATATAACACAAAGCTCTTCAGTAAAATGAATACGAGTGCTCTGGTTGACTGGCGTTCGTTTACATTCGTAAAAACAAGACGCTAGAATAAGCAGTTTCTCTCTGCCGAGTGCTGATTGCTTGAGGTAGAAACTCCTACTCACACCAAATCTGTTGGGTTTCGGTCCTGGCTTGAGGGATTCAGTTGTCTAGTCGCATTGAGGTGTTGTGATACAACAAAACAGTAGTGTCGATATATATATATATATATATATATATATATATATATATATATATATATATATATATATATGCCCAATTTTCAAGAATACGGGTGACGCGCTCACTCCTGTCTCAGTATCAGGCCTGAAAGCCTAATCGATGTCATCCACAACATGTTTGAGGCGATAATCAACAGGAATGTTAATAATTACCTCAACAGGGAAAACCTCTTGTGCAAGCAGTACGTGTTATGATCAACTCGATCCATTGATGATATTTTGGCATTACACAGAAGATCAGTTATGAATTAGACAATAATTGCATCACGAGAACAAGGGCAATTGCATGAGATATATCGAAGGCCTTTAACAAAGTGTGGTTTAGGTAGCTTAGTACACTAAAGATCTTCAGCTATGGTCATTTTC